GGTTATGAAATCACCTTTCCAGTCTGGAGACAGTCTTGACATTCTGTGGGTTACATTTTCTAGAATGTGATAAGTATTTAGAAGTGGGTTTGGTCTCCCCCCAGTCTTCAATTCTGCTGCTTTGTTATCTCAGCTACTAGGTTTTCTTGCTTTATCCTCTCTTCTTCATTCAAAATTATAAGCTGATGCCAGATTTATTTTCTGAAGTTTGACTCTGATCATTTAATTCTCCTACTGATGTATGAACCTGAATTTCCTTTCTTCTTCGTACCAAGATAATTCTAGATGGACTGAAGCCTCACTGTAAGGGAGGGAGGGAGGGGGAGAGAGAGAGAGAGAGAGAGAGCGCGCAAGACCACTGGACAGAAAGATGGTTAAATTAATTTAACATTCTATAGTGAGAAAGTTGTTTCTAAGGAACATGTTAAACTGGTTAAACTGAGAAATCATGAAAAAACTTGGTAAATTTAAATAAATAAAAATGAAAATAACTTATTGCTAGGAACATTATTCTAAACAAATTAAAACATTGCTGGCATGACCTTGACATTGGATTTTCATAATGAAGGACTCATTCAGAGCTGAAAGTCAAAGACAAATTATGATCTCACTGAAAAACAGCCAAGCAGCTTGAATGAGGATTTCTCTGGCAGAGGTGTACAAATACAGGTCATGAAGCTTAAAAGATGTAGAAGAAATTAAGGTAGAGACCCATCGTGGTCTAAAATAAATGTTCATAATATCCACATTTGTGGGCATGTGAAAAACATGTAGCTGGGTACTTTTGAGGGGAGGATAACTTTGATAAACACTGGAAAACAGTATGACAAACGCCACTCAGCACTGAGGAGAAGACACATATTCATTCGGACAACAGTGCCCATGTTGAAAATTTCACCTGAACGCAACTGCTTATGAACTCCAAGGTACTTATGTAAGGGTGCTTCTTACATGACTGTATTAGTCAAATAATTAATAACTAGCTAAATAAATTGGCTCCACACAATGACAATTTTATCTAAAAGGAAAGAGTAGGTCTACATCACTGGTGTAGAGTTTCAGTGACCTTTATCTATAAGAACGTTGAATCCATGCAATATGAGTCTGATATTGTTTTCCTCATAAAACACCCAATAAACTGTTTATGCTGAGTACTAAACTAGGCACCTGGGACTTCGGGAACAGTAAGAGGGGACAGACTGCACTTTTTATTTTGTACCTTTCGGAATTGTGGGCGTATATTAACTTTTGTTTAAAAAGAAGAAAGCAGGGAACAGGAAATAAAACACATTTCTTACAGAGTAATAAATCTGATTGCATTATTTTAGGGGAGTTCAGCCCGGATGAAAACCTGCCTGTTAGACGTCACGTTTTGTCCCCCAGTTTCTGGAAACCCCATTTCCTGGCCCCTCCCTCTTAGTACCAGCGCCACCTGCTGGTGTGACCTTGAGGTTGGGCACAACCTTAGTCCAGAGGGGGCCCCTCCAGGATTTTTTTTTTTTTGGAATTGGGGATTGATTGAACCCAGGGCCTTCTTCCTGAACTACATCTCAACCTTTTAAAAATTTTATTTATTTATTTTTGAGATGACCTCACTAAGCTGAACAGGGCTGGTCTTGAATCCTTTGGACTCCAGTCTTTTATTTCAGTCCCCACTGACAGCAAAGCTCAGATTTAATTTTTTCCAAGTGTAAACCATCAAAAATCCCTACCTCGTTCAAATCTGTTGGGACATTTTCCTCTGTGACCTAGTGCTGGATTATGGGATGCCTGCTGCCAGCAGATGTAGAAGATGCCGGTCTGGGATTGGAACACTTTGGCGATGATCCTAGAGTGCCTAGCACAGAGCAAGGGTTGAAAGTGACCAGGAGTTGGTCATGGTGTGTTAGTGTGCTGACAGGTGCGGTGTCAAGGGAGATATGGCTTCCATCCTGCCCAGGGCATGAGCAGTAACAAGACTGCCGTGCATGGTTGTTGAGGCAGGAATTCAAAGCACCTGTGACTGTCTTTTAGTCCCTGTGGGCACATCCATTCATCCATAAATACCTTCAGGGGACTGGTTCAGGTACCAGTTCACTTCACTGATATGCAAGTGTGGAACCCCCTACATCCTCTTACATAGTTTAAATCATCTTTAGATTATTCATAACATCTAACCCAGTGTAAGTGCATATAAATAACCATTATACAGTATCATCTTCACAATAATGACAAGGAAAAAGGTTTGTAAGTGTTCAGTACAGGACATTTATGCATTTTTTTCCTGCTGTGGTTGGTTGAATCTGTGGTGTAGGACTATGAACCCGGAAGGCCATAGTGTGGTTAGAGGGGCAAGATACGCAGGCTGTGGGTTTTAACACCTTGATTCTCAGGCTGGAGGTTTCGTGATTCCTGCAGGTCCTCATGGCAGAACTGGGCATTCCTAGGGTTGAGACCCTGTGTCCGAGCTCCTGGATTCCTTATCCTTTACTCCTTGCCACAAGAGCCTCATTGTGTGCAAAACTCTCAGCCCGCAAGGTTAAAGTCCAGCCATTCAGGTGTCAGCTCATCATTTGAATAGTCGTGGCATTGCTTTCCTGAGCAGCAGAGCCCCTTTCAGAACCTGCCTAGTTGAGATGTCACCTCCTTGACAGGCACTTAGGCACAGACAGAGAATCACAATGTGTTCCCTCCCTTTCTCAAATTTTCCCTAACAATTAACACAACACTAACTTGACACCCTCTTTTCCTTGTTTGGCTTTGTAAACCCCGGTCCTTTTTCCCTATTAATTCCAGACATTAATATTTTCTTTCACACCACTGCCGCCATTCACCCGTGAAACAGTTTGAACATTATGTAGCTGTCAAGATGCCTGGGGATTACCCAGTATGCCTTGCCTGTGAGAAAGTGACACCACCGAGGCCGAGTTTTGAGATATTTATTTTGAGAGTACGCTGACAGGCATGAAGACCTGATCCCAGAGTGGCAATTTCATTTAATTAAAGGCCTCTTTTTATTATAGCTTTCCATATATATATATATATATATATATATATATATATATATATAGTCAGAACAGTTGTTAAAGTCTGGCTAGCCAGAGGTGTTCTCTCTCGTCCTGGTAAGGGGAGGTGGGTGGGCACATGCTAGCTTGCTATTGAAAATTCACTAGATGCCTGTGAATGCATTCACTTTTACTGTCCTCTCCAGAGCTGCTGCTTGACATGGGATGTGTGTGTCTGTGCCACTAGTGTTGGGCTTCTGTTCCTATGTTGCCAAATTTCAATGTGAGGATTGCATACGGATTTATGTCCATCTTTAATTTATTTAATATTTTTCTGTGAGATCGGTACCTTTGCAGTACCGTGATTCTAAATTATCATAAATCGTGCCTTTGTGAATCCATGAAGGTGTTGTAAAGAATGTACACCCTCTTGCTCTGTAGTGATGTTACTTTCAGCTCAAATAATTAGGAAATCTATTGCATTCATTTTCAGTAGGTTTTTAATACTGGAGCTAGCTAGAGACCTAAAGAATTAGAAAAAAAAAATGAGCTGAGTAATTACTGATGGATATCAAGGATTTGGTAAATGTGGCAGGATACCCTAAGTGATTTTTGGTAAAAGGTAGACAGTAGGAATCAGGGAGGTGGATCTTTTGTAAGTGGAAAGTGGATCTGAAGATGGAGCAGGGGTGAGGAGAAGAGGTGAGGAGAAATAACAAGAGAATGAAGACACATTCATGCCCTGACTCTCCTTGATGGAAGCGATTGCTGTGTATATACTGCAAACTGTCCCAATGAAAACCATTACTAAAAACACGTGCTAATTTAAAAATTAAAAAAATCACTTCCTGGGATGACTTTAATATCGCATATTCATTTCAGTGATCATTACAAGGGCCTATTTTGGGTGCTGTTTGAGGCATTTATGATGGATAAGTAAACAAAAGAGACCAAAAGTCTTTGTGACTTAGTGATAACTGTTTCAAAATTAAATAGAACATCACGCCAACATTGAATTATTTTTCTAGTGTTATCAAGTGGCCTTCATTTATCCCCTCTTAGATTGCTCATTTATTTTTGATGTTTTTTGCAGCATTCCCATGTACTAATGAGCAAGTATATCACCAGCACTGCTAGATGGCACACAAACACACACACACACACACACACACACACACACACACACACACACAAACACACATATACCACAAGGCTTAATACATAATTCATGCATTAGTTTGGAGGGATCTTTTGGGGGCTGGGGAGGGGTCTCAATGGATCTGAATAAAGTGGAGAAGCATCTCCGAGCGTAGTTCTGCTGGGACATTATTCATTCCCTTTGGCGTCTGTTTCAAAGCTCCCCAGGAGGAACCCGGCAGGTCACTGGTGTCAGGGCTGAGGCCAGCTGAAGGCCTGGTGGATGTGGAGTTCAGCTGGCCCAGCCAAACAATGTACGTAGCCTTTGTGCAGGTGTAGGACAACAGAGGACAGCGACTCTGTCGATTTAATCTCTACGCCCCCCAGTTTGAGCTGGGATCCCATTGCTCCATCTTTTGAGCTCTAGAGATGGATTTATTTATTATCATCATATTTTAAAGTATATCGTCCTGTTGGATCAGCCATCTGGCTAAATGCCTCAAAATAGTTTCTTTCTCTTTTCATAGACCCTGCTGTCCCTTGGAGGAGTGGGCTTCTCCCCAGGACTTCTGACACTGATGTGATTTCTTGAATTTCTGTGGGTAGCAGAGAGGTGACATATCCACAATGCAACCAAAGAGAAAATGCTCGAGGAGCCCGTTTATAGTCTATCACTGAAGGCAAAAGGAATTAAACGTCTGTCCCCAAATTCTTTCACATTTCTCTCTCCACTCCTGGGGCCCTGTAACTCAGCACAGTGAGACATTTGTTTTGGTTGGACTCTGTGGATTGCTTGGAGCTGGGAATCTTTACTTAACGGAAATTTAGGCTTGTATGCAGATTTCAAAATTCTGTCTTGTCCTATTTTGTCTTTTAAAGGCACAAGTGATCCCTATGTGAAATTTAAGCTGAATGGGAAGACGCTGTACAAAAGTAAAGTCATATATAAGAACTTGAACCCGGTTTGGGATGAGATAGTTGTGTTGCCAATACAAAGTCTTGACCAAAAACTACGTGTGAAGGTAATCACAGATAGCTCTAAAATCTGCTTCTTTATTACAAGTATTTCTTTCTCCACAATTTCTCTCATGCCCTCTTAAAAAGTGTACTTGCCACAATTAGTTCTTTTATGGTTTTCAAGGACTGTTATCAATATTAACAGTAGAGAAGAAAATCTTCATTACAATTGAGACTGTATGTCAATGCGACATACTCTGCAGAAAAATAAGAATGAAAGTACTTCCACTGCCTGTATTTAAACTTACTGAATGTGAAAGAATTATTACTAGTAGTGCAGTGGTGACATATACTAGCGCCTTTCTCATTAGGGGTAACTTTATACTTAATAGAGCTTCAAGCTTCCGGTGTAAGCTTCAATTGCTCTAACATCTGGGTTAAAGCTGCATGAGTTGAGTACCGAATGGGATTGCTGTAGAATATTTAACAAATTTCTATTTAATTGGCAGATCTGCTCACCGTGAAAAAATACTAAAGTTTAATGAGAGGCCATTTAAACTAAAGAAAGCAGTTCATCGTGCATAGTGTTTTAATGCATGGGAGTCCTGCCTTAAAAAATATTTTCTGTATTGTTTTATCTCCTAATATGCAAAGTGACTTTGAAATTTTGCTTTCTGTATAGGCTTGGCTACATTTTTCTTTAACTCTACAAATTATGATAAGGTTTGAAAGATGGGTTTCAAATTTCCAAATCTTTTGTTTTTGATAATGATTTGATAAATGTCTTGTCTTCTGGACTTCTTGTAGGTGTATGATCGAGATTTAACCACATCTGATTTCATGGGTTCTGCATTTGTGATTCTGAATGATCTCGAGCTGAACAGGTATTGTATTTTTACCCTTTCAGTTGTTATTAATGAATTTTAGCAAGATCTCAAGATGTTGTTAATTGGTTTCTCTTGTGATCAAATAAGAAAACCTGAATGAATGAAAGAGTACATTATCATATTTTTATGATTAAATATATTTAAGATTTTTGGTCTTTAGTAGCCAAATATATTATTCAGAGATTTTCTTTCATAAAGTATTCTAAAACATTATTGGCTTTTGCACTTCTATTGGCTTATATCCAGGTTCATTAACCTAATGTAAGACAAATATTTAAATTTTATTTGGGTGGTAGAGGAGGCAGATGAGTTAAGCGACTGCTGAAATAAATAATACCAAACAGTTTCTCCACTCTGCATATGCTTGGTTCATTTTTGCTATATTTGGTGCCTTTTTAGCATTGGGTCTAATCCTTACCAGGAGAGGGGAGACCTCTACCACAAACCCCTCATGCACCATTAGACAACGCAGTACTGTTAAGTGCTAAAATTATTTGCTGCTTTTTTTTTTTCTTTTAGAACAACTGAACACATTTTAAAATTGGAAGATCCAAACAGTTTAGAAGATGACATGGGTGTGATTGTGTTAAATTTGAACCTAGTAGTAAAACAAGGTGATTTCAAGAGACATGTAAGTGTTACTGTTTGTTCTTTGTTAAATCTTCCTTGTGATTGTCCTATGAATACTAATGTAGCAGACTAATGATATAATCATTCTTTTGGAAGAAATATTATTTGATAGACTTAGAGGTTACTCATCTGTGATTATACTCATCCTCTCTTTTGAAACACTAGAAAGAAAATCCGTTGAGGAATTCTCTCTGTTTTGGCTAGGGATATAGTTAGTATTGCTATTATTAAAACTTATATGCTGTGAAAGGTTTGCTTATTACACATTATTTGCTCTGCACATTCCTTAAGTGTTAAAGTTTCTTTTTAGTAATTTTTAGGTCCCAGATGAGATAGGTATGATTATGAAAAGAAGTTCCCAGGATTTAATTATTGAGTTGTATATTATTAATGTGATCAAGTGTACATCTTTCTTAAGCATTGTGATTTCTTTTTAAAATTTTTAGCTAAGTTATCTGTTAGGAGTGCTTTGGGGAAGATACAGATTTTAGTGTAATCTGGTCTCTTACATGAAAATTGCTAGTTAAAACACTACCAACTAAAGATGGCCATAATATCAGTAATGCATTAAACTTTGTCCAGATATGAATGAAGTGGTTCTTATGTACATATGTTATTATCAATCATCTCATTTTATATTCAGCAATTATATATTATAATTCTTTAACTTACTTGAAAGTAAGTTTTACTTTTAAAGCCAACTGAAATAATTAGTTGAGAAAGAATAAGACCTGTTACAACTTATCATGCATGAAATCTAATATGAAAATATGAAAACCGTTTATAAATTAAGCTTCTAATAATGTTCCCTGAATTCAAGCAAGACAGACATGGAGAATATTCTTCATTTTGGTATCATGAATCTAACTTATTTCTCATGAAAATAATGATGATTTGCTAGTAAATTCACAGAAGCTAACAAAGAAATACAAATGCTGGACTATAATATTTCAACTGACAGAGGACTGACAATATATTATTTTTATTTGAAATCCTTACTTATAAGAATTTACTTTTTGGAAACAACAGGATAGAATTCAATTACTTTTTAAGAAAAAGTGGTGCTGTTCATTGATGTCTAATCAGTATTTTTAGATATAAAAATGCCTTAAATAGTTGTGGAAAATAAACTTGTACTTCCTTATCCCATATAGTGAGGGAGGGCTGTTGTTTAATTTCCCCTTTGTTTTGAGAGTGTTACTACTGCATCTACAACTCTGGGTCAACGTCAGTGAACACAGAGGTGAATATCAGGTTGAAATAATATGTGTTATAGATACGTATCATTTGCCATGTGGTTGAGCAATTATAAGCCAATGTATCCTCAAAATTTCTTATGTGTTAAAGTGGCATTTGGAAAGTTGAACGCTTTCCCCATGATAATAGATGTGTACTTGTGTGAATTTTTGATAGTATATTGGATTTTGTTTAGCGTGATGGTGCCCTTAAAATACAATTACAGATCACCAAATCTGAAGTTTTAAAATAATAGCATTTTAATTTCAACTTATTCCAAACTGCAGAGCATTTGATACTACAGGAAAGAGGGGTTTATTTTTGTAAAATTTCTCCTATCTTTGCAAAGTTCAGTAAGTACTCACAGTTTTTGTTTTATTCAGTTTGATCCTTTTAAAATTTCATTCCCCAGTTCCTGCATTGAAGAGTTTTTCTGTTTATTCGAGTGCCTTTTAATTCCTTGTTAGTTTAGCAGTAGTCTAATACACAATGCCCTTGTTTTATATTTGCATAAAGAAATTATACAGAAAACCGTGCCTTCTCTCATTTGCTCAGATTGGTAGTTTTTTAATATACTTACTTGATCAAAGAATAATTAATTGAAGAGTCATTTATTCTGGGCCATATGTGGTTATTCAATTTATAGCACATATCATGAGTCCTTTGGGTATGATAGATGTGTAAAGGCATTTGTTCTTTTTATAGAGTTTAAGTTACCATTTAAAGGCATTTTTATATTAAATTCTGGAGTAGGGCTAGTGCTTGGGACCTGGGGAAGAGAGACTATTTGATCAGGATAATTTGTTCATGAACGTCCATTTTAATTTAAACCCTGAAGGGAAAATTTTAGTTTGAAATCTCAGTTTTGTACCCATTTTTGTTTTCATAATCATCGAGGCAGGTAGTATTTGCTGCTATGGAACCAACTGACAAAATTCTTCTGTGCAGCATTTCTCTGAATTTCCTCTCATTTCTATGAATATATATAGGATGCAGTCAGGGTGTAAGGCCCTGGCTAGAAACCTGACAAACATGTATATTTTTTTTCCTGGAAAAAAAAAAAAAAGATTGTAATTAAAATTATGGGTCTGAATCTCAGTTCTATCCGTCATCTGGTCTGGTCAAATTCACAGGATTTTTTTAAACCTCTCTGAGCTACAGTTTCCTCATGACTGAAATGAGGATCGGGAGATGTTTTCCTTATTCGGTCAAATGAAAATTAAGATTCTGAAATGTGGTGCCTGATACGGCGTGTAGCCATTCAATAGAGGGTAGTACATAGCATTGTATAAGCAACCAGAAGTAGTCATTTTCCATGAAAACTCTTATTTGCTTGATTTATCTTTTAATGTTGTTATAAAACTCAAATTATTACTGTATACAGTAAAGGACCCAAACAATGCTATACACCTATAAGATGGTTCACTGATTGTGTTGGGTGGAAATATTTGCCACTGTGAAGAGGAAACCTCAAATAAAATTTAATATCCTGGCTATAGTATTCGTGACTGTGGATTGTGTGGTAAATATTGAATTCACCATTTCTCTGGGGAAAACTATTACCATTGAAGAATATTTTTAGAGAATTTCTGTCCCAATGTTCTGGTTGCTTGCTAATGGAATATAAATGGAAATCCCCTGGAGACTACTCTTATTTTTCTAATCTATTGGGAAAACATTTTGGCAAGGTAGATAAGTCATTTGCATAAATATTTTTTTGTTAAACATAATATTAAGTGTAGACTGCTCAACTGGGTTCATAATTGAGTTGTAATCTCCCAAATTTACATAGTTTTAACAACTAGTTAGCTGGTTAGCTAGCCAGAGTAAACCTTTGAAGGAATGGACAGTACAAGAGTAATGAGAGGATTTTACTGAGAGAATTTTAATTGTGATGAAATTCAGAATCATTGCCTGACAAAAGAGAGACCAGAGGAGAACCCAGGAGAAGTTGCCTGATGTTCACAATTTTTTTTTCTTCTTTTTTCAGAGGGATATTAACTTACTTTTCTTAACTGGGTATTGACAATTGAGATTTTTTTTTCCTATTCTTTATTTTATATTGAATATTTAACCTACGAAAGTAAGTGGAATTATCTTAAACTATAGAAACCTAAACATGAATTGACATTGATCATGAATGGGATTAATATGTTTGTAATACTATCGAAATATTCCAAGTGGTAGAATATTGGCATTCTACTTTCTTAAATGTAAAATTTAAGTAGCTTAAGACAATTGTGAAAAGTGGTTATACTTCTAGGGATCAGACATCATTCATCTGTTCTTGCCTTTATATACTAAATACTTCAAAAAATAACCACAAACGTGATTTTTCTTAGTTTCTATTTTCTTGTTTAAATTTGCTAACTTCAGAATTTGGGTGTCAATCATGTGACTATAATCTTTACAATGTCACACAATATAATTTTGTGATTTTTTTTTAACAATTACATTTCTCTTTCCTTTTTCCATTTTTACTCTTCATGGGACACAATGGATAGCGCTGGTCAAATCGGAAGCGGTTAAGTGCCAGCAAGGTAAATACATTTGTTTTTTCTTTACATCACTTGGCTAAAACTTCACCTTTGTAGCGAAAACAAATATTTACATAATTGATGTTTTCCAATCTTTACTCATAGACAGTCTTTACTTCTTACTGCTATAAAAAATAAGGGAAATAAAAAATAAGGGAAAAAATAAAAAAAAATAAGGGAACAACTTGCCTTCAAAATTTCATTTAATAAGGGCGTAACTGGATGTTTGAACTTAACGTGTTTGGGTGGTGACATTTTACACAGACCATTCATGTTAGAATTTTACACCTCATTAAGCTTGGATTATTTAGAGTGTAGCATGGTCAGCTTTAGTCCTTAGGAAGTTATTTTTCATTAGGTGGAATCTATCATTAATACTGTATGGGCAATATAAAGACTAAAGAGAATAAATAAGTCTTTTTTATCTTCTAAAAATGGTCATTTGTTATTTTATCTTGTAAAAATGATCATTTGTTATTATTTTTTTCTTAGAATTTCCTTAAAGATTTCTTCACACAGCATTGGAGTTTTTCTATATGGTTAGCATCTTTTTAATCAATTAAACAGAAGTATCTAATTTGTAAAAGTATGGGTATACTAAGTTAGAATTTTCTCTTACTTTAATAATTTACCAAATTATTAAATAAGCAAGTTGCAACTTAGGAGACCAAATGTGAAAGTCATTCTAGAAATAAAACCCAGAAAGTTTTATAGCTTAAGGTAGCAGCTACGTTATTTTAAAAGGGAAATAATCAACAGAATTATATTAAATAATGTAATCCTCCAGGCTGTGTATCAGTTAGGTTCCTGAATGGTGTGCTATGTGTAGATATGACAAGAGGGTGTGTGAGGCGTCCCTGTGTAGCATGTACTGTATGCACAAGCTAGCACATACATGTATATGTATGTCCTGTGCCAATTTCTTTCCTCACTGTGCTTCAATTGCTTATTTTTTTCTGTAAAATGAGTTTCAAGCTGGCAAGTCTTCCAGCTCAAAAATTTTGTGATGTGTATGTGTAGGGGGTAGGAGTTGGGATTAAAATCTCTTGCTTTTGGAAAACCCAAAGAAATCAAAGTTCCAGTACATACCTACTACCATGTATATAAATGCTTTGCATTTTAAACACTTAAAATAACTATGAAAAGGTAATTTTTATCATATCGGTTCACTTGGTGCCCGAGATGATGGTTCTTCATAGTCATGAATTTAGAAGATGATAAATAATACTACAATCCTGTCTCAAAAAATGGCTCCAACTTTTGCTTTATTCCTGAACAGTCACTAGAGGGTAGAAGAACGTCGTCTCTCACCACAGGAGGAGCAAGCACACCCCTCGCTCTCTGATATTAAGAGTTTCTGTAACCACCTAGAGCAGTAAAGTTTCCCAGAATGCCTTGGTGAAACCTGACAAAGCAGTATTTTCTCGTTTATTGATTCTGCTGCTGCACTAAAACCCTGGTACTGTACATCAATAACCATCTTTAGTTAGGGAGCTTCGGTCTGTGGAAGAGTCCTGGCAGTTTGTGGAAGCACATAAAGGCTAGAAAGAAAAATTGTGAGCTTGGGGAATATTGGAGTCTAGGGAGGAGAGGAGAGGTTATGGAGGACTAGCCAGAGGGGTAGAAAAAATGTTGATGGCTTGGATAAATACATCAAAAATATGAAGGGAACAGAGGATCTGGAGAGCAGTATTTAGTGCCATATATATATATATATATATATATATATATATATATATATATATATATAAATTCAGAATTGTGTCTCGAAAGTAAACTGTTGTCTCCCCATCCCCAAATCATCATAGTATCTAGAATTTTGACTTCCATATTCTGAACTCAGCAATGTTATATATGTTTAGTAATGTTCACCAACTGATAACTATCTTGGTCTCATTTGTTACCTTCAAGTGGTATTTTGGTGACGAATTTTGATAATTGTGTTACTTTTTTTGCTTCTGAGAGTATGCAGTTATAAAGAGAAAAATGAGAGAACTTCTAATTTGGTTTAGGAAAATAAATCACATGAAATCTCCATAGAGACTCTGATTAACACTCTGCAAAAGCAGTTAAAATACTCCGGTCACCTCATCTTTTGATATTTTTAAACTAGATATTTCTCTTTTAGTTTTTTTATGTTATACTTAATATTATATTTGGCACACTTAAAAGTATCAAAATTTTATTAGTTTCAATGTAATATATTACTTAAAAATACCATTAACTTTCTACTTCAATCTGATTCTTATAAAAATAATTCTAGGGGCTGGGGGTTTAGCTCAGTGGCATAAGTGCCTGCTTGCAGGTGTGTGGTCTTGAGTTCGATCCCTGGTACTGATAAAAAAGAAAAAGACAAAAAAAAAAAAAAAAAAAAAAGAAAAAGAAAAAGAAAAATAATTAAATGTACAAAATTATTTCTTTTTCCTTAAAGTTTATAATTTTTCATCATCCTAAATATTCCCAAATGGCAGAATTTTATAGCCTTACTTCTAAACTATTTTCTATTTCCCCTAGATTTCATTATAGTGAATACATAGAGATTGCCTTTAGAACTTTTGGCTTATAACCAGAGCCTTTAAAAATAAGCATTTAAATGAGAATTGGGAATGTGATTTCATAAAGTCTGGATCAATACCTAGTTGTCTTTATATATTTGCATCCATAATCTTTACTGGGAAGTGGTTTGTTTCTTTTTTAAAAAAATGTATTTATTTATTTACTTTTATTGGTCTGTTTCTAATCCTTACGTCTTTATTCTAATCTATCTAACAGCTAGAGAAATGAAAATTAACAGAAGTTAATTCTTATAGCAGTCTAATGGGGGAAGGGAAAAACAGTTATAAAAATGGAATTAAGAGGCTACTGATTGTATTCAGGAATTTGCATGCACACACGTACACACACACACACACACACACAGGTACACACATACACACACACACGCACACACTCCTGCCAGCATGTGGATCTGTAAGGGTGCTATCTCTATGCAATGCTTGCTTTAATTTTCATGAAAATTAAAGCCCCTCTTCTCTTCTGACCAGCTGTTTTATTCATTTATATGTCAGAATTCAAGATAGTAGACATGCCTTATACTAGTGTAGCTTTTTGTGTGTCTATGAAATTACTTGAGTAGTGTTGCCAAGGTTTGGCCTATTTGTCTTGATATACTTTTTAAAAAAATTAGTTCCTGTCTCATACTGCAGAGACTGACTTTAGCACACTACAGTTTCTAGGACTCTAGATTATCTGGCTTCCAACTGACTTCATGCAGTGAGAGGACATGGCACAGGCTAGTTTCATGTGAAAAAACGTAAATTGAAAGAGGATAGTCAGAGAAATTAGAAGGAAGTTCGATCATCCATCCATCCATCCATCCACCCACCCACCCTCCCTCCTAGTACCACTGTCCATCTAGTCGTCCATCCGTCTGTCATCTATGCATCTGTTCATGTGCCTATCGATCCATCTGTCTATCTATCTTCCTGTCTGTCTGTCTATCATATTTAGTGAGCTGATATATGGCCAGAAGCCAAATAAGAACCAAAAGGGAGTTCTCTGATTGTTGTGTCTAGTAAAGTAATTTGAGTTTGAAAAGGAACAGGTCAGGCAGGAATCAATATCTGACCACATATTTCCAGATAAATACCTCTCTCAAAGCAGTACTTTCTCCAATGAAATGTCCATGCCTTATTTCTGGGTAGGTCCAGGAAGTAGTATAGGAAAAACTGCTTTGCAAGAGGAAGTATGTTCCATATGAGGACATAGAGGGAGAACATTGTTCCCAAGGTTCCCATGAAGAGGGAACCTTGTTTGTTTTTCATTTTCATTTATTCTTACCTCAAATGCCTACCTACAGTAACACTGTTTATCTGTTTATTTTCTTGCTTAAATTCAAAGGCTTGGAGAATTGTATGCTTAATCAGTAGCATGTGTACTATGATAGAAAAATACAGTGCACATTTAAATTAAATCTATTTTATTATAGCAATAGACACATTGTTGTTAATTCCCCTCAAAGTATTCTCCTCATTTCAAACACACTCCTCCCATCAGTCTTGCCATTTTCCAAAGCAGTTATGTGAGTCCTCTTTTGTGAGTGTCTTTAGTTGAGTTCTCTTGACTACTTCAATATCCTGAATAGATTCCAGATGTTTCACTTTCAAAGTCATTTTGCCTCTGAGAAAGACCCAGAAGTTGTACAGTGCAGATCTGGTGAATTAGATGGATAAGAACCACACAGTCCTGCCCATGACCTCTGGTTGAGCATAACGTCTTGCTGTATGGTGTGAATACTGTCCTTGACTACAAAGGTAAAGCAGAGGCATAGAATGAATAAGCAGAGGGGATACTTGGGAAATAGAGTTCTAGGGTATTCAGAGGTGCGGGGAGACCCTTGTCTTGCTTTGTAGGTGAGTTGGTGAGGTAACGTTGGGCATAGAAAAGCATTTGGGGAAGATTGGAAGGACTAATACCAAATAAGAAGGAAAAGAAAGCGAAAGGAGCCATGGTATTGTAAGTAATATGGAACAAATTGCTGTAGGACTCCAATTGGTTTGCAAACTGTGTCCATGGGACCAGCCACAGCTGCAAATTACTAGAAATGAGACTTACTCGCTTTTTAGACTTCTTGAGTCAAAAACTCAAACAGCCAGGCATAGTGGTATATATCTGTAATCCCAACACTGTGGAAGGCTGAGGCAAGAGGATCAAAACTTTGAGCTTAGCTAAGGGAACTTTCTGACTTAGCAAAACCCTATCTCAAAATTAAAAAAAATAATGTTTAGTGTGATGGTGCATGAGAACATTGCAAATTCAAGCCCAGACCAGTGAAACTTAGTGATATAACAAGACCCTGTCTCAAAATAAATACATAAATAAAAATAAAAATTAAAAATTAGGTCGGGGGATTCTGAAGACATAGCTCCATGTGGAGGCACTGGATTCAGTTCTAAGTACTACAAAATAAAAGAAGAAAAATAAACACCCTGGTAGTGAGACCC